GGGGGTCATCATTGACCACAAGATGAACATGAGCCTTCAATGCGATGCTGCGGCTAGTAAAGTGACCAAAATGCTGGCTTTCATCCATAGATGCTTCTCAAGCAGATCCCGGGATGTCATTCTCCCCTTGTACTTGGCTTTCGTGAGGCCACAGCTGGAGTACTGCGTCCAGTTTTGGGCTCCACAATTCAAAAAAGATGTGGAGAAGCTTGAGAGTCCAGAGAAGATCCCACGCGCATGATCAGAGGTCAGAAAAACAGACCTTACAACGACAGGCTGAGAGCTATGGCGCTCTTTAGCCTGGAAAAGCGCAGGCTCAGGGGTGATCTGATGGCCACCTCTAAGTTTATCAGGGGTGACCACCAGTATCTGGGGGAACGTTTGTTCACCAGTGTGCCCTAAGGGATGACAAGATTGAATGGTCACAAACTCCTCTGTGACCGTTTCAGGCTGGACATAAGGAAAAATGTCTTTACTGTCTGAGCCCCCAGTGTCTGGAACAGCCTGCCATTGGAGGTTCAAGCACCTACATTGAACACCTTCAAGAGTAAATTGGATGCTTATCTTGCTGGGATCCTATGACCCCAGCTGACTTCCTGCCCTTCGGGCGGGGGGCTGGACTCGATCTTCCGAGGTCCCTTCCAGCCCTAATGTCTATGAAATCTATGAATTCAGCCCAAATTTGTAATTTGTGGCTTGTTTTTCTCTCTTGTTTTGGTGCAATTTTTGGTTTGGGGTTTTTTGGAGGAGGGTTGGGTTTTTTGCAACTGCATTACATTGCTGACTCATGTAGGTTCTATGATCCAGCAAAACTGCCATATCTTTCTTGCCAGCTGTCGCTGGTAGGTGTTATAGGGCTTTGCCCCCTTCTTGGCTGGTGCCTAGCCCCCCTAGTGATGTCAGGGTGAGATCCAAATTCAGCACCACCGATGTGAGTTGGTTGCTGCTCCTACTCTCCTGCCACGACTTTAATGTTTTATTTTCTTCTTGGGAGGCAGTTCCTGGTAGGTAGCCTGAGGAGATCTCACCCCTGGGTTTCTTCATGGGGCTCCAACCTCCCCTTTACCCCACCCTTACCACATCCACAGCCAAGGCAGACTCTGCTCTCCACAGGTCTTACTTTTGGATGATCCCATCTCATCCATGTCACCCACCTCCAAGGGTCAGAGGCCTTCTGGTCATCAGTCCTCCAGAGGCCATCCTTCGTCTTCGGACTCTGGCCTTGGCAACTAAACACACCCCAGTCCAGGGTCAACTGTAACTTAGGAATGAAAAATTAACGTAAGAAATTAGCATCTGCTGGCAGGCCCTTGGGATCTTGTCCCCCAGGCCCCTTGGTCCTGCTTGGGACTCAGTCCCTCCTTGCCTGGTAGGCATCTGGGAGGGGTGGCCACCCTACGCAGGGCCTCTGCTGGCCCTCTTGGGGAAGCCTCCCTTGGGCCTACGCCCCTTCCCACGTTGGTCCTGTCTGACCTGAGGCTGGGCTGTCTGGTCCCACCAGCCTGTGTTGTTTGTCCCTCCTGCACTGGGCTCCGTGGCACGCCACACTTTCTTCGCTGCTGTGCAACCCAGGGGTGTTTGCGGTCCCTCGGTACTGCTCCCCACTTGGGTTTCCTGTTAGAGCCTTGGCTCCTGTTTCTGGCATCCCAAGGAGCTGCTTCTCCCCAGTAGAGCTTCCTGGCATCCCTCTGCCCCGGGGCTCAATTTCTGCAGCACACCTGCCGGCGTCTCCCTGCCAGTGCTTGACTTCCTGCCACTGTCCTCAGGGCTCGCGCTCCACGGGTCTCCAGCCAGCATCTCTCTGCTGATGCTCCATTCTCCCTCTCCCCACCTCGCAGCTGAGTCTTCAGCTGCTTTTTGAGCAGCCCAGTCTTCTCCGGGGCCCCACCCCCTTCTCCTTCTGATTTGCAGGCTCAGGCAGCTCTGAAATTGCCAAGCCAGTTCTCCCCGCCCCGATGTCTCTCCCCAGCTGTTGCTTTTTCCATCCCTGTGGTGAGTATTGGGGCGCATCGCGGAGAAGGGGGCCTGGGGCTAGTTGTGGGGGCTTTTGCCTCCCTTCTCACACCAGCACTAGTCAATTATCCCCTATCCTGTATTTGTGCATTTGATATTTCTTCCCTACATCTTACACTTGTCTTTATTGAATTACGTTGTATTGTCCACAGCCCAAGTCTCCAATTTATCTAAGATCCTTTTGAATTCTGCTCCTGTAGTCTAAAGTGTTTGTATACACAACAAGACATAAGTCAGAAGCATTTCAAATTCAGCATCCAAATCTTTTGGATATTTCTGATCTTAAACTGCGTCTGAGGTGCCCTCTTCCCCCCCTCCCCCCCCCGCTTTTTTCTTTTACATAGGGAGATTATATTAATTTATATCGCAGGTGTGAAAATAAATATGACATTTGTGAAGCACTCTGATATCCCTGAAGTGACAAACACCATAGAAAACCCCAAAAGGAAACAAATAATGATCTGTCCTTTCAAGCTCAAATAAGGCCACAAACTGAACAGACGAGCAAACAAAATATTGAACTAATACCCCCGGACAAGCAGTATTAGTCTTGCACACTGAATGTGAGTGATACTTTGGATCTGATGCAATAAAAACTACCAATGCTTGTTCCCAAAGGGAGTAAATTTAAGTTTGCATGGGTATTTCCTAACTTTTGAGCTCTTAATTTTACAGTTTTAATGCTTTCTTAACATAGTTCCTTGTGTGTAATTTAGATCGGGCCAGGAATGGGAAGTCATCCCAGCTGGTCTGACTTCGCGGCCCTGGCCTGATCTAGCGCTGGGGATGGGAAGTCAGCCCAGCTGGGCTGACTTCCTGGCCCCAGTCCAGTGGTCGCGCTGGGGAGGTGAACTCAGCCTAGCTGGATTAACTTCCCATCCCCAGTGCTATGGTTGAAACATGTCGACTTTTCAACTGTTGAAATGTTTCAGCTAGCCTAGTTTTGTTTCGAGGGTGTTTCAAAGCCCTTTGTTTCATTTTGATTTTGCTGGTTTGACCTCGAAATGAGTCAAAACAGTGTCAAAATGAAACGGCCAGTGAAATTTCACACAGCCTTACCATTTACTGACATTAAGCAGTTCTCTGGATTTAGGGGGATGAAAATGAGAATCAGCTGGGTGTCGCCCTTCTCAGATTCACTGATCCAAAGGAGAAAAGATGTTCAGCATTTATCTCTTGCCAGATATTTTCCATGGTCAGTTTAAACAAGCCATGAATTTTGTACAAAAAGTCACTTTGCAGTCTTTGTTGTTTGCCAGAAGAGGTCACTCATCTCTGTCTCCACTGGTTTTAATGCAAAAATATCAGATTACAGCACTTGTTATAGTGTTCATGACACTTCTGTGCATAATAAAAATGTTATGCTGACTAATTAAAATCTAATAACTACAGTAAATACAGACCAACCAACAAAAAGAAGATTCCTGTGCAACAATAAAAAATATATTCACCAGCACAATGTTAACGCATTTCTAAAATTAATTAATCCAAGGGAAATTTTGGGTCAAAATCTCTGGGTTTACCTTACAAATCACATAGGTGTTCACAAACCTAACAGTGCTAATATTGTGTGACATCTTTAAAAGGATCTTATTACACCTCAGAATACCATAGCATCCTGGTTGAGAATCACTACTCTAAGGTGTTAGAACAGGGGCAGGCAAAATGTGTCCCATGGGCTGGATGCGGCTAGCTAGGCCGTTCTATCGGGGCCCCTAAAAAATTTAGAAAATTAATATTTATCTGCCCTTGGCTGCCTGTCATGCGGCCCTCGATGGCTTGCCAAAACTCAGTAAGCGGCCCTCCACCTGAAATAATTGCCTGCCCCTGTGTTAGAAGCAGTAGAAATTGATATGGGATTAAGGACAGGATCAAACTGATTGCAATTGCAGTTGAAGCAATGTGAGAGGCAATGATTTCTTAGGGTGGTATCTCTTATTGGACCAACTATGTACTTGGGATAGAGTTAGACAAGCTTTCAAAAGCTTGTCTAACTATTGTTACTACACGGTTGGTCCAACGAAAGATATCACTTTAAGAAATCCTTACCTCATATAATTTCTGGAGCATCTGAGAAAGAATAAGCTTTGGAAAAAATGTGAAAGAGACGAAGCCAATTGTTTAGTGAAATAACCAAGAAGCCTAGTGACATGAACTCAGAGGAAGCAGCCTGAGAAAAAGTCTCAGGTCTGCAACTTGCCGTGCACCTGAATTGTATCTTGTTAGATATGGAAGTGTCTATCCTTGGCAGATGAGGGATCGTATTACTGCATAAAGCATTCATTTTGGTGAAGACAGACATTGTAATTATATTGATACTGACATAAGCTGTTATGAAGTAATTTACGTCTGCATGCTTCTGTAGCAAAAGAAGCATAGCAAACCATTGCAACTTTAATCCTGTATGAAACTGAGTTAAAGTTATAGATGCTTAGCTATTTTTTTTTGCTACAGGATCATGCCTATCTAACAGTTCCATGATAGCAGATACATGCTCTTGAATGGCTCCTTTTCCTTTTTCAAACAAATGTTTGTCCAAACACTTGCTGTAGGTTGTCTTACATTAAAAATGTTGAATTCCATTGCAACAGACAAAAGTGCACTGCAGTGTTTTACTTGTAAAACCAACTGGCCTGAGCACCGAGTTTTGAGTTGGAGAACTCTTAAGCAAAAAATAATGTGCAGCTAAAATTGGAAGCTATAATACAAGACTATATTTTAATTAAAAGGATTCTTCCCACCATTCTAAACTAAAATTTACTTCACGTTTAATTATGTGGATAATTTTGTTCATGGGAGATCACATGATGAAATACATCTCTGAAGAGTAAAACAGCCATTGAGAGATTAATATTATTTGAGATTTGTGTAAATGTAGGTACTTTGCTCTTCTGCTGCTACATAAAGCTTGTGTGAACTAATGACTTGTGGTAATCTTTATCCTTTCCAGGTAGATACTAGCTTGCAGAATGGTTTTGCCCCAGGCATGAAGCTAGAGGTTGCTGTCAAGTCTGACCAAAACACATACTGGGTAGCCACCATTGTTACAACCTGTGGACAGTTGCTCCTGTTACGTTATGATGGGTATGGTGAAGACCGTAAGGCTGACTTCTGGTGTGATGTTATGACAGCTGACTTGCACCCAGTTGGGTGGTGTGAACAGAACAAAAAGATTCTCAAAGTGCCTGAAGGTAATAGCTCCCCTTGGAAACGAGGGAATATATTTTAATTTCTGAGCCAGTATGCATCTGCAATAATAATTGACTATTTCATCATTTCAGAGGCATGAGTAGTTTGAACTCAAACTTGGACTTGGACTTCACTACCTGTTACCAACCATATCTCATGGCTTTGCTTTTTTAGACATTGGTTGCTGTTACAAAGATGCTACCTTTTTTAGAAAAAAAAACTGGTCTGATGTAACACCTGATATACATCACTGCCTTGTGCTTATCTGATTCTGTGAAAACAGTTTTTATTAAACTTCATTCTCAAATCTATGTTAATATCAGTACCACCACTGCACAAAACAAAAAGTACATTAATTTTGAGCTGCATCTTAATTCCTATTTTATAATTAATTTAATATCCTTTCCTGTAAAATACCAAATGATCATTCCAACATAGGCTTTATCTATACTAGCAAGTTGTGATGTCAAGTTGTCAAAAGTGAAGGTTCCAGACTTTTGCTTTGAAATAAAGGAAGTTTAAGCTGGCATAAATGCATGTGTAGACACACCCAGTGTTACCAACAAGTAAGCCAGATAAAGACACATTGTGTAAGATGCAGGAGCATATATGTCTTGTTGACATGTAGATCAGGGCTGTCCAACTGGCAGCCCACAGACTGCACATGGCCCCCAAAGGGTTAGCATGTGGCCCATGGGCTCCTACTCGGCCACCACTGCCCACTACTGTCCCCCTCCCTTACCCCCTGCTCCTATTGCATCAACTAGGTTCTTCTGGCTCCCCTGCTCTCCTCCAGCTTCTGCTTCCTGTGGCAGAAGAGGGTCAGGGTACTCATGATGTGCACAGGGCAGTGAGACCAAGGTGCCTGAGCTGCAAACAACAATAGCAGAAGTTGGGCTGCCTGCATTACGGTGGGCAACATACATGGCCAGAGTGGGGTGTGCTGTGCATGCAGCAGAGGGGAGCGAGGTTGCCTGCACAACATGGTGCAGCTGGGATTGTGGGGGAGGGGAGGAGACAGGCTGCCCATGTGCTGGGGAGAGCCTGGGGGCGCTGCCTATACCTTGTGTGGCCCCCAGGACTGTAGCCTGTACCATGTATGGCCCCTGGCTGCCTGAAAGTTGACTGATACAGATGATAAATTATATTCTGAATGAAGCATTTTGAGGATCTGAAAATGTCTTGTTGCGCAAGTAGCCTTTTGCTGGCAAGAGAAGCCATCTTTACTTCTTGTTTAGGTATCAAGGAAAAGATACCTGACCAGGAGAAGTTCCTTCAGCTGACGCTGAAAGGATCATGCAGTGCTCCTGCAAACCTGCTAGAGGGGGTGAGTTCTCATTTCAACTCATTTAAAATGATGGAATTCTTTTTTTATGGGCTAGTACACTCTTAATTTATTGCACATACAGTGTAAAATGAAGCCCTGTTAAACTGATCAGTTCTACTCCCTTCTTAATTTTAAGAGCTGTTATTTATATGCCACTGTACCTCTGAGAAGTAAGTTTTGTTTACCTTCCAGTGTCTGCACCACTTAATTCAGGAAGGCATTTGATCTACATATGGAGTTACTAGTTTGGATTGTCTGTTCAGCCTGTTAGCCCCAGTCAGAGTAAAAATGCTTTTTATTTACAAATTCACTTAAGAAAAAGGAGTGAGCTTATTTTTGTTTCCCTTGAATACTTTTTGTGGATTCTCTTCTTTATCTAACCTTCAGAATGCTATTTTCCTCAATTATGTTCCTCCTTACCCTTTTTTGCTGATGAACAGAATTTCTTTCCATTACTGTTCCATTATTATTTTATTCCTCAACTCATGTTCCTGTATTTGAAATAGGCCATATTCAGAATCTTTTAACTGTCATTCCTTTTCTGTAGCCAGAATGTTTGTTGTATGAAATTACCCACATCCCCCAAACTACTTCATTTGGTGTCCAGTCTTAAATTATGCCCAAATTACTCCCGATTACAGTGTGGTTACTTACTGGAAAATGAGAGCTACAAATTAATTCTTGCCTATGCCCAGTGTTTTAACAGAAACATCTTTACATCCTTGCTGCCCTGTCTTCTTCCACAGGGGTTGGCAACCTATGGTCCATGGAGCCTTTGAATACAATCCACAGAGTTGTAGCTTTGGTAGCATTCAGAGGCTGTGTCTTCGTGCTACAGCTGTACACCTGGGGCTTTGGTGGAGGGAGAACTTTCCCTGTACCATGCTAAGCTGGGTGGCAGGGAGAAGCAGTGGAAGCAGACAGTATCTAGTGCCCACCCACCTCAGACCTGAGCTGCGTCATTCTGGCCCTTCACCAAAAGAAGTTGACGACCCCTGCTCTTCTGTATTAGAGATGCTGGAATTTTAAACAGATGGGCCTGGTTTGCTCCACTTCCTCCTTTCATTTTAATCTTTGAATATAACAATTTCAAATACCACTGAAACAAGTTAAGTACATCTTCTGACTTTTATATAAATACATACTTCTATCACCATGGCTCTAAATAGTCCAGAAGCTGTAATAGCAGCAATGTGATCAACATTGCTCATGAATTTTGTGATCTGTTTGGAAAGGGTGCTCTACAATTTGGCTTCTGTGTTCATGCTTCAGTTGGCCAAACTGTGTCAGGCATTACAACAGTGATAGGAAAGAATCATAATGCCATGTATTTTGAGCCAGGTATATAGATGACTTTCTTGTTTTGTTTTCTCCCTTTGGCTTATAGCTTCACAGAGGAAAAAATCCCTTGGATCTCATTGCACCAGGCTCCAGACTAGAATTGCAAAACTCCCAGGATTTCTTGGATGCCTGGATTGTCAATGTGGTGGAAAATGTTGGTGGAAGGCTCAAGTTACGTTATGAAGGATTGGGGGATTCTGATAGATTTGATAAGTGGATGTTCTATTTGGATCCATTCCTTCATCAAGTGGGTTGGGCAGCTCAACAGGGATATAGCCTTCAACCTCCATTAGGTAAAGAATAATATTTTAATTTTTATAAACAAAGCTGTTGATCCTGAGCTTCAAAATGCAGTTTCTGCTTCTGTGATCTGCATTCCAGATCTATGTGAGTACATATCATAAGGTTTATTGTACTCCTGTGTAAAATAAATAAGAGCTTCAGGAAATCAAAGTTACATCCCCATATTCAAATGTTGCCAGTTGCTTTTGCCTGCCACTACCTCTGACCTGTTTGTAGAAGGTACTGAATGCAGGGAAAGATTGCCTTTCATAAATGCCTGAGACTTTAGTAGGAAGAAGTAATCCATGTAATTCAGCTCATGTCATGCTATGTTTTGTTAGTGCAGTGTATAAAGACATCAATTCCTTGCTTCTTAACAGCACATCTTCATTGGAGCCAAGATATTTGGGTTTCCAGGTCTACTACATTGCCTAGAGCTCCATTTAAAGGGACAGGTAAAACATATAGGGGAAGCTGGTATGGAAATTTATAAACATAACTTTAATGTAATGTTAGCAGTAGGAGAGAAATGTATGTATTTCCCCCTGTAAATGGATGTCCATATAGATTATGTTCCTGAAGTCAGGAACAAAAGGAAGATCAGGGAAAGTGTGGGTCCCTTACTGAATGGGGAGGCAACCTGGTGACGGATGATGTGGTAAAGGCTGAAGTACCTAATGCTTTTTTTTTTTTTTTTTTTTTAACCTTAGTCTTCACAGGCAAGGTCAGTTCCAAGACTGCTGCACTGGGCAGCACAGTTTAGGGAGAAGGGGAGCAGCCAAGAGTGGCAAAATAACAGGTTAGGGACTATTTAGAAAAGCTAAGTATATACAGATCTGTGGGGCTGGACACAGTGCACCTGAGGGTGCTGGCTGATGTGATTGCAAGCCACTGGCCATTATCTTTGAAAACTTATGGCAGCTGGGAGAATATCTCAGATGATGGAAAAGGGCAAATAGTGTCCATGTTTAAAAAAGGGAAGAAGGAGGATCTGGGGAACTAGACTGCTCAGCCTCACCTCAGTCCCTTGAAAAATCATACCGGACGTCCTCAAGGAACCCATTTCTAAGCATTTGTAGGAGAAGGTGACTTCTGAGGAGAAGTTAAGAGAACAGTCCACATGGATTCACTAAGGGCAAGTCATACCTGAGCAACCTGATTGTCTTCTATGATGAGATGACTGGCTCTGTGGATATGGGAAGAGCAATGGAACTGATATACCTTGACTTTAGCAAGGCTTCTGAAATGGTTTCCCACAAAATTCTCACAGGCAAGCTAAGGAGGTATGGGTTGGATGAATGGACTGTAAAGTGGACAGAAAACTGGCTGGATTGTTGGACTTAAAGGACTTGATGTCTAGTTGACAGCTGGTATCCAGTGGAGTGACCCAGGGGTTGGTCCTAGGGCCAGTTTTATTCAGTATCTTCATTAGTAATGTGGAAGGTGGCATAGAGTACACCCTCAGCAAGTTTGCAGTTGACACCAAGGTGGGGAGAGTAATAGATAGACTGGAGGGTAAGGTTAGGATTCAGAGATACCTAGAAAAATTGGAAGATTGGACCAAAAGAAATTCATGAAGTTCAATAAGGACATGTGCAAAACCCTGCACTTAGGACAAAGTCCCATGCACCAATACAGGCTGAGGACCAATGGGCTAAGCAGCAGCTCTGCAGAAAAGGCCCTGGGGTTTACAGCGGACAATAAGATGAATATGAGCCAATATCTTTTTGTGAAGATAATGGCATAATGGGCTGCATTAGTAGAAGCATTGCCAGCAGATCGAGGGAAGTGATTCTTCCCTTCTATTTGGCACTGGTAAGGCCATATCTAGATACTGTGTCCAGTTTTTGCACACCCCCACCCCCACTGCAGAAAGGATGTGGACAAAATGGAGAGAGTCCAGTGTGGGGGCAGCAAAAATGGTTAGGGGGCTAGAGCACATGACTTCTGAGGAGAAGCTGAAGGAACTAGGCTTATTTAGTCTCGAGAAGAGAAGTCTGAGGGGGAATTTGATAGCAGTCTTCAACTGCCTGAAGAGTGGTTCCAAAGAGGATGGCTAGACTGTTTTTAGTGGTGGCAGATGACAGAACAAGAAGTAATGGTCTGAAGTTTCAGCAACAGAAGTTTAGATTAGATATTAGGAAACACTTTTTCACTAGGAGGGTAGTAAAACACTGGAACAGGATACCCAGAATGGTTGTGGAATAGCCATCCTTGGAGGTTTTTAAGGCCTGGCTAGACAAAGCCTTAGCTGGGATGATCCAGTTGGGGATGGTCCTGCTTTGAGCAGGGGGTTGGACTAGATCAGTGGTTCTCAACCGTTTTTTGTACCATAACCCATTTGTAAACATTAGCTAGTTCCAACCCAGTAAATAGTTTAGATAGAAAATAACTTCCTGGCCCTACCGGTACCCCTCACTCCAACCCACAGTTCCCCAACCTCCAGCCCTGCTAGTGTCCCTCACTCCTGACCTGCTGCCCCCTGCCCCCAAGCCCCACTGTGTGGAGCAGAGAGTGGGTGTGTGGGGCTGAGGGGGAGTGTGGGATGGGGGAGCAGTAGCTTCCCCAGATTTGTGCACCCACAATAGGCATGGGGCTGCAGCCTGGCTGGACTGGCACAGGCAGGACCTGCCTCCGCCGCTCAGTGGGCGGGACTTGTTGAAGGAGGGCAGAGTGGGGAGGTGAGACTCATTACTGCCACTGGAGTTGGAACCACCATACCAGCCACAGTGCCAGCAGTGCAAGGAACAACAGATGAGGGGATGGGGATGTGCTGCCCTCCCCTTCTCCCATTACCAGCTGCTCATGCGCCAGGCCGCAGCTCCACCTGCCACCATGGCCCAGCTGCCACCACCGCTGCTCCCCTCAAGCCATGGCTCTACCTCAGAAAGGAAGTGGTGTAGTAGGCAGTGTTGCCTGTACCCCCCCCCCATTCCCCTGAGATGTCAGCTATGCCCCCTCCCCATTGATTTACCTGTGGGAGCTGCTCTCCATACTGCCTGGCTACCATGTGCATGTGTGCACACACACATGCATGTGGCACCCCCTGCTTGATCGCCCTCTTTCCATTCCCCCCAGCCCCAAGCAGCCCGTACCAGCCTGCAAGAGGAAGCCTATAGTTTCCCACTTTTTTCTCCTTTAAAGGAAAATCCATTTTTAAAGTTTGTTGATCCATTTTTTAAATTTGTTCACGACCCTTTTGTATATTCCTGCTACCCTGTTTTGGGTTGCAACCCACAGATTGAGTAACACTGGACTAGATGACCCTCTGAGGTCCTTTCCAAGCCTAATTTTCTCTGATTCCATGAAAGTGGAGGTGTTGACAGAGGGACATCTTATACCCTCCCTGTCTTCAACATGAACACTCTCCATGAGCAGACTCACACAAGATGATCTGTTAGGTATATTCAGAAAGAGTTTATTAAACTGATGAGAGGGGGATTGAATCACTTCTCATCCCTCCTCCTCCCCCCACCCAGTTAATTTGAGAGCTATTAGAGTCTTCTCCTCATTCACCTTGTTACCTTTTTTGTTGAAGCTATCAGGTCCCTGAAGAGTGAAGCAGAATGGCAAGAGATCCTAAAGAAGGTGAAAGAAGAAGAGGAGGAAGAGTCTTCAGTTCCCACTGATCTTTTTAAGGTAAATTCTCCAGTTCATAGAATATGGTGAAGCAAACCTACAGGGAGTGTAATAAGAATAGCTGCCTATGATCTCTAGGAATTAATACAGGAGAGCTAATCACTGGACAAAATGACGGTGGTGTTGCTGCTGCTGCCTGCTGTTTGGTGCATGAGATTGGATGCTTGTGGTTAGTGTGTTTAGTTCCAGTGCAAGCGCAGTGTTTCAAATTAGGGGTTTCCATCACCATTATGGTGAGGAGCCCGAACCCCTTTTACTTTTTTCCCTGCAGAGCGTGCCTGCCTCTCCCACAGCCAGGGGTCAAGCTGCCAATGGGCCAAGTGGCCCCTGAGCTGTAGGGGGCCCCAGTTCTTCTCTCCATGGCATCGGTGCTCCCTGCGGCCGCCTGCATGTGCTGCTAGTAGATGGGTGCTGACCAGGTGACACTGCTGCCATGGAGGGACAGTCTGGGGGACCATTGGCAACTCACCCCTCCCCCACAGCTGCAGAAGAGGTGGACAGGCTCCACAGGGGAAGAAAAAGGACCAGGCCCCTCGCTGCTTTTTTTTCCTCAGTGGAGCCTGCTGTGGGGGGGCCCAGTCCTTCCCTCCAAAGTGGCAGCACCCCCCAGGGCCACCAAGATAAGGTGCTAGCCACGCAAGTGCTGCCCCAGCTCACAGGCAGCACTTGCTGGGTCCAACTCTTCCCCGAGCCTGCGTGCTGAAAGCCCACGAGGTGCTGCTCCCTGCACGGGCTTCGGGAAGAGTTGCGTCTGGTGGGTGCTACCTGTGAGCTGGGGCAGCACCCGTGCAGCTAGCACCCCACCTGGGTGGCCCTAGGGACTGCCACCACTGGGGACAGAAGGACTGAGCCCCCCTACACCTCAGGGGCTGCACAGCCCAGCAGCAGCTTCAGCGGGCAGGCTCCGCTAAGGGGGAAAGAAACTGGCTAGGGGTCTGATTCTTTTTTTTTTTTTTCCTGCAGAGCCTGCCCACCTCTGCCGCAGCCAGGGGATGAGCTGCCAGTGGGCCCTGAGCTGCGGGGGGCCCCAGAACTTCCCTCCAAGTTGGCAGCACCCCCTGGGGCCACCCGGGCGGGCAGCTAGTGAGTGGGTGCTGCTCCACCTCGCAGACAGCACCCAGCCTGATCCAACTGTTAGCAGCCCACCCAGGTGGCCCCATGGGGCACTGCTGCTGTGGACAAAAAGGCTGTGGCCCTCCACAGTTTAGGGGCCACTTGGCCCACTGGCAGCTTTCAGCCCGGGCGTGGGAGATGTGGGCAGGCTCTGTGAGAAAAAAAAAAAGAAAGGATCAGGCCCCTCACTGCTTCTGCCTTCAGCCCAACTCTCCTGTGTTGGGAGGGTAAGCTGTCAAAGACTGCAACATTCTAATATTATAAAAGCCATTGTCTGTCTATCTGTCTGTCCAAAATGCTTTATTTTCACTCTGATTGGTTGTCTCAGCAGCCAATCAAAATACTTACTAAAACAACCAATCAGAGTGGTCTGCACAAACAGAAGCATCGCCATGACAGGGGACCGAGGGGCCAGAGCAGGAGGATGAAGCCAGCGGAGCTT